TCCCTAATGTGATAATGTGTACAAAATAACAGTCTTGTTTCTTATTGCCGAGCTTAGTTATGGCAATTTATTTGTTTTTGATTAATGGCGTTTTGTGGGCGTGGCAGTGGTCCGATTACGCCCATCTGCAATACTAACCGTCTCACGCTACCAAGAAATATGTCTACCAAGTTTCATAAAGATATCTCAATTTTTACTCAAGTTAGAGCTTGCACGGACGGACGGACAGACAGTCACCCGGATTTCAACTCGTCTCTTCACCCTGATCATTTATATATATATATATATATAACCCTATATCTAACTCGATTAGTTTTAGGTGATACAAACAACCGTTAGGTGAACAAAACTATTATACTCTGTAGCAACAGGTTGCGAGAGTATAAAAATGTTGAGTATAAAAATGTCGCGCTACTTCCATGGGGATATTGTATTGTTGTCGTGTGAAGGATATGGCACCGATGCCATTATTTATATGAAGGTACGAGTACTTCAATTTTTATGAATATGGGTACAAAGACACCTGGGAACATAAAAATTTGAGAGCAGGGATATCGCACCGAAGACGATCTGCGAACCTAATATAAATTGATAGCATTTCCAAAAAAAAACAAAAGAATAAAAATGGTGTAAATTTGTCAGACTTTAAGGAGTAACGAATCGAACAAACAACTGTTCTAAATCTCTTATACATTATATATGTGTTATATAATCAAATAGAGCTTGAATAAGCGGAAGTTTTATGACTTTTATGAAGTATCCATCCACATGGTCACCTGTATTAGAGTCAACTATATAACTTAGTAGCTGCTCACACAATTATTTTTTTTGTCAGGAGAGCAAATAGTTATTTTGAGCTTTACCATATGTGCCCGGGATATTTTCTTTAAATATTAAATTACATATTATTGTATAATAAATGGTAGAAAACCTTAACTGTACAATCCGATTCAATTTAAATTTTTATTCTGCAGGCGATTTCAGATGAAGCTAACGAGCTGTTGCCCATTTTCAACAAGACGAGCTCGAAATTTTATCGCGCCACCGTGCCCACTGGCGATTGGTCTAACCAGGTAAAACATCCGAAAAAGAAAACGAATGAATTGGATGCACTTGCTGCGTAATGAATGATTGTGTGATATGGAGCGTCCAAATATATGTGCCTCTACCATCTCCCCCAATCATTTAGCTTTGTTAAAATAACCCGTGGTTCCTCATCTGCAAGAAATGAAACCCAAATCAACCTCCTCCCGCACTAAGCGAAACTATTTTAATGTTTTAGGGACGAATTTTAAGAATTATTTCTAGAACTGTTATTGTATAAATTTATGTTTATCTGTTCATATGTACGTCTAAAGTTAAACACATACTTACATTTTGGAATTTTTAATATTATTGCTAATATACCCAGGCTTTTAAAACCAAAAATGTATATAAAGAACTCGTATTGATTAACGAGGGTAACACTGTTTACACACCAAAACTTAAAATGTATTTTGTTGTGCTTACAGATATATGCATATATTTAGAAACGATTATATATTGTGTTTAATTTTGAAACATTTATTTACGATTCGAAATTATATAGTTAAATTAGCATGTTTATCTTTGAACCTTCCTTGCTCACTTAGTAAAATAAATGAATGTTAAATATCCGTTAGTAATAGATGTCGGTTGTTTGTATATGTTTCTTTTACATATGTATTGTCGTTTATTTTTGTTTTGTTTGTAGTTAGTTTTGATAAACAAAAAGAATTAAGGTTTACATTCCAAAATTTATAATATTAAAGAAAAAATTAATAAAAAAGACGACAAGCGATTCGCTTTCTGCTTTGGAACCTTTAGCCGCGAGTGCAGCATACACGTATATACTGTGTTACCGAGTGATTGAGCATTTAAATTCAGTTATTGATAGTAGACATTATCAATCATATTTAGTTTCCAACAAGTGACAGAGCTTTTGGCAATTAATTTATCAGCTTGCGAGCGTTTGATTTTTGTGGCGGAATTCATAGTGATGAGGATCAGCTGAATATATATAAATTAGAAGCTTAGTTTTGTGCATTTTAAGTCTATGCAATCGCACAATAATATTATAAAGTCTTATTTCTTTGTAAATAGTTGTTGAATTATAATTATTTACACTAATGAACGGCTTTCAGAAACGTAGCTTTAATATCTGTACTGCGCATGCAGTGTAAACTTTGATTTGTAGATTAATTATATTCACGAGACACAACTAAATGCTAAAAGCATGCATAAAATGTAAATTTAAAACAAAAACTATTTTTACTAAGCCAAATTGTTTATTTTTTGCATATATATATATATGTATATATTTGAAATATTTATGGTTGTTTTATTTTTTATCTAAGCGAAATTACTAAGATTTGTCTATTGTCTATACTTTTACTATTATTACTATTTATTATGAAGTGAACATAGAAATGCCTGAGCACAGACAGGTATCTCTAACAAATGTAATTGACTTAAAAAAATAAACGGAAACATTTATTCAAACAAAACGCAGTTCATTTTATTTTAATTTTATAGTTTTAGCTTCTAGTTTTTGTACATACTTGTGCGACTGCTACTCTAACGCATTTGTTTGCAATGTACCTTTGTTTTTTTTTGTAGAAATTTGTCTTCATTTGTTGGTGTATTTGCCAGTGTTGGTCGCAATATATTTGTTCGCTTATGCTTTGTATTTTTCTCAAGTTTGAAAATTGCTTTACATATTCACATATTTTTTTATATTATATATTTCAGAATTTTTCCAACCGTTGGCGTTATATATATAGTCTCTTCTCGTCCAAAAACAATTAGCGTATGTTTTATTCTAAAATGCTTGACTCATTTCAATTGGTTTTTATTTATGACGCAAGGTATTTGAAAGCGTTCACACAATGCAATCATTCACGTTTAATTCGCATGTGATTTTTATTAAATAAATTATTAAACTATTTATATGTATATTTGATTAAATTGAAAGCAGGAAGTAATCTCCATTCCAAATGAAATTATCATAACCTCAACAAAATTTGAACACTAAATTTGTTTATCAGACTTAAAATTAAAATTATAAGTAAGGAAGTGCTAAGTTCGGATGTAACCGAACATTTTATACTCTCGCAAAGTCAAACGGTATACTCGTTTGAGATTTCTTTGTGGATTGACTGATATTTTCTGGAGAAGGTCAACTATAGGCCCTGGGGTCCATATATTTAGTACTTAGGGGCTTGAAAAGTTTTGGTTCGATTTAGATAATTTGTGGTCACAAGGTGGCATACTTTAAACGTATTATTCAAGCAAAGTTTGACTCTGATATAATCATTATTGCTTAATTTGCATACTGGAAAGTGAAAGAATCAGATGGAATTGAAAATGGTGTTATATGGGAAATAGGCGTGGTTGTAGTCCGATTTCGCCCATTTTCGCACTATAACATAGAAATATGAAAAAAATGTTATGTATCGAATTTGGTTGAAATCGGTTAAGCGGATTGCAAGATATGGGTTTTCACCTAAAAGTGGGCGGTGCCACGCCCACTGATTAATTTTGAACGCGGTTCCTATGAAGTCATCTCATACCATCCTAGAGATAAAATTTAATGTCTCTGGCGTGTTTAGTGCTTGATTTATCGCGCTTTTAGAAGTTTTTAACAGTACCGTTATATGGGGAGTGGGCGGAGTTACAACCCGCATTTAACTATTTTCACACTGTAGGTAGAGGTTCTAAAAGCATTTGCTTCCAGTGAATTTTGTTATTATAGCTTTAGCGGGTTAAGAGATATGCCCACTTTAAAAAAAATGTTAACTGCAGATTCCCCTCCCTAATGTGATAATGTGTACAAAATAACAGTCTTGTTTCTTATTG